GCATCACTTGAAAAGCCCACATCTAAATTGACCGCCTACAATGGCAATTCCTTGCATAGCAAAGGGCAAATCACTACTCTCCTTGTTCTCATGCTGTTTCAGGTCAAGCCAAAAAATGTCACGTTTCATGTCGTAGACACGAAATCCCCACCACTTTTAGGTTGCGAGTCGTGCTTGGCTTTAAGCTCATAGAATTTGCTCATTCTGTACAAAATGATTATATCATAGAAATAAAGAGGCATTCCTTACTAAAGAGTCCTTATGACGGATTATGCTCAGGTTTTTGATGGCATAGGTTACTCCCTGGGGGAATGTAACATTCATGTTGACCCAAATGCTACACCAGTTGTTCATCCTCCCCGTAGGATTTCAGTTGCTTTACAAGATAAAGTGAAACAGGAACTTACACGAATGGAAAAAATGGGAGTAATTGCTAAGATTTCAACACCCACTGAATGGTGTAATAATTTAGTTGTTACTGAAAAAAGTAATGGCGATATACGTCTTTGTTTAGACCCTCGTTCGCTTAATAGTGCAATTAAGCGTACACCCTACCCGCTCAAAACACTTGATGACGTATTACATAAGTTTGGTAATGCAAAGTATTTCACTAAATTGGACTTAACTAGTGCTTACTGGTCAATACAATTATCTGAAGGGTCGTCATATTTGACTGCATTTAACAGTCCATTGGGGTCTTCAGGTATCTTCGATGTCCATACGGATTAAACGTATCAGGTGATTTTTTGGTTCGCGCCCTTGAAGAGGCACTGATAGGTCTCGAAGGGGTAGCTACAATTGTTGATGATATTTGTGTATGGGGAGTTCCACGAGGGAATGTCATGACCGAAATTTAGTAGCTGTCCTTGAACGTGCTTTGAACAAAGGCATTCGTTTCAATTCCAGAAAGTTGGAAGTAGGTCTCACCGAGATTAGTTTATTTTGGTCACATGTTAACTGCAGAAGCTTAAAAAGGCCGATCCCGCCAAATTGAGGCCATTAAGATATGAAACCACCCACATCAAAAATGTGAACTACAGGGTGGTATTAGGCATGGTTAATTATCTCAGTCGTTATGTCTCTGACAATTTATCAGAGATTACCGCTCCTATGAGAGAGTTTATTGCATAAGGACACTACATTCACGTGGCAAAAGCCTCAAAGTGAATTACTTTGAAAAAAAATGAAAGAAGTCATTTGTAAGGGCACATGTTTAGCTTATTATGACCCAAACAAATCCTTGACATTGCAAGTTGCATTCTTCTTCAAAAATCTTTAGGGGCAGTAATCCTTCAGAAAAACGGCCCATAGCAATTTGCGTCCTGTAGCTTAACTGAATCACAGAGAAATTATGGGTCAATTTTCTAAAAGAATTATTATCTATTGCCTTTTGATTTACGAAATTTTATCAGTACTGCTATGGCCGTTGATGTCATTGTAGAAAATGACCATCCCCCTATACAGGGATTGCTGAAAAAGCCTATGCATTCAATACCTTCTAGGTTACAGCGTTTAGTCTTGAAATTAACTCCATATAGGTTTCAGTTTCGTCACATGTCTGGTAAGAAATCCCATTAGCAGATGGACTTAGCAGAAACGCCAGTCCGGAAACAAGCCAGAACTTAATGGGGGTATTGAGGCACACGTTTGCATGGTTATCCCATCTTAACCCGTGTCAGATAGAAAAACTTGAGGAAATCAGGTTACACACAAAACAAGATGAACAATTATGTACATTACAACAAACAATAAAGTTTGGTTGGCCTAAGTACTAAAAGGCTTGTCATCAGTTAATTGCTGCCTTTTTGGAACTATAGGGATGAGTTATTTGAGGTTAATGGTTTAATAATGAAAGGAGAAAAAATCGTTATGCCCAGGTCACTCAGATCTGAAATGTTAAAGGTGCTGCATTCCAGTCATCTGGGTGCGCAAAAAATGTCTTAGTAGAGCAAGGTCAATAATGTTTTGGCCGGGAAATTTCAAATGATATAATTGAAATGGTAAATCAATGTCAGATTTGTCTGGAATACAGGTCATCGCAACAGAAGGAGCCATTAATCAGCTCTGAAATCCCAGACTAATCCGTTTCAAATTGCAGTGTGTGACTTGTTCTCACTTAATGAGAAAAATTCTCATGGTCATGTCCGATTACTATTCTAGGTATCCATAGTTCATGAACTTTCGAAAAGTTCAACTGTTATTTCCCACATGAAAGATATCATGTCACATTGGGGCATATGTGAGAAAATAGTCACTGATGGGGTCCATGTTTTTCTAGTCAAGAATTTGAGGAGTTTTCAAAGTCAAGGGATTTTGTACATGTAAAATGTAGTCCATATCATAACCAAACAAATGGTTGGCTGAGGCGATGGTTAAAGTTGCCAAAACGTATACTTAAAAGGCAAAAGATGATAATTCTGATCCGAGAATAGGATTTTTTTAGAATATCATTCTACTCCTCTCGCTGATATAGGAAATTTTAGTCCAGCGCAGATAGTCCAATCACGACAACTTCGTTCTATCCTTCCCACTGTAAGGGAAAACCTTATACCTTATACCACGAGTTCTGCCCCCTGATGTTGTCAAACAAAAAATCGCAGAATCCAAGGTCAAATCTAAGCATTATTATGATAAAAATGCTAAACTTCTGTCTCCCTTAAATGTTGAAGATTCCGCTAGAATTCAACGTCTAGACAAATCCTGGAGTCCCGCTGTTGTAATAAAAAACACAGCGAAAGGTCCTATATTGTTGAAACAGAAAACGGCAACAATATCGCAGAAATCGTAAAGATTTGTTGAAATCTAAAGAATCGCCTATATTGACACATGGTGCTTTGAATTCTGGCCTTGAAATGTCAGTTAATTACAGAATGATTAACGTAGGGTCAGAGCGTACCGACAGCAATAAACAGCCTGTGGTTTTGAATCCTCCGGATAATGCTAATTATTTCACTCGCGCAGAAAGGTGAAGCCACGTGCTGTAACAGACTTGTAAATAGACAGTGATTGTTTCTAAAAGAAGAAATTTTACAGTATTAATCATAATTAGTACATGTTGTAAACGACTCATAATAATGAACATTTATTAACTACATGTTACTGTAATCATCAAGTTTTTCTTCCTTGAATTTATTTAAGCGTTATTCAAATAATCTATGCGGTTATACTTATGATAAAATTATGTTTAAATATAACAGTAATTTTGTAAAAGATGAAAGATGTAGCATGGTGAGTAAACTGTAACATGATACTCTTGGTGCGTACAGCTCCTTTATAATAGAGAGTTCTCTAGATCATAGATATACTACCATCACGGACACTGATATGTAAACACATATATCATATAATATAGTTTAGATAATAAACGTAGTTAGAGCACATATATATCTATGTCGTTCATAAACCCATGACGTAACAGCCACTACGAATATTTTAATTTTGTAGATTTTCAGTATAAACACGGATATATATCATATAAATCCGTGGTATAAACAATTTGTTTTTAAAATTTGAGATAGATAATAAAGAAGAATTGATAATGTTCAAGCACATCATTCAAGTTTTTCCACCTTAAACGGTAAAATAATTAAAGAAAATTAGAAATATCACGTGTGTTAATTAGGTGTAATTCGGACTAATTCTTTAGTGGTAAATCCGTAACGTACCGGCAAACGGTATTTAGCTAGGTTTTCGAAAAGGTCAATTAACCAATCATGTACGGTTTACAGATCACATGCTCCTCCATGTACCGAAAACAGGTCACGTGCTCCTCCATGCCTCAAAAGTTAAACGCGTACAAATACCCTGCGGTCTTCAGACCGCAAGGAATAAGAGAGTAATCGAAGTAAGTTCTAACAAAGAAAAACAGCCCAAGGTGTGTATGGAGGGCCTGTGATCAGAACGCTGTTCTTTTATTAGACATTTGCGGCTTATAATGAGGAACGGAGATTGAAGACCGAAGAAAAGTTTTATAAAGGGATAATTTCAAATTAATCTAACATTTTATAATAGACGAGGTTCCTAAGTCACGGATAACAGCAGCATTGCCAACAATAATTTGTGATAGTATATCATAATTTTGTCTTTGTCCTGAATAATATTATTCCTGTGGCTCTATCCCATCAATAGCCCTGACCACCATATGTACTCGCATTTGTTAAATATGTACATGATAACATCGTCAAAGTAAACCATTTCATGTATATTGTGTCTTTTTAGTTTTTAAATAAAAGCATGGCATTTAAGCCTGGATCCCGTCTTTCACTGACGATACATTTATACCTTTTTTCAAATAAAAACGATATCATAAAAGTCGGATAAAATCGTTGTCAAAACAAAGTTCTGAACGATAGTCTCCAGTGCCTTATGGGATGTTTTATTTTTAAAAGTAAGTGTGTCGGTGTCTCATAACGTAACTCGAAGAATGTGTCTATGTGTGCATTTGAAATACATTTCTGCCACTTCAATTAGAATCGTGGTTGGATTATAAGCAAAAATCGTTCCGAAATAAATGAACCTGATATCAAGTAAGTATGATAACGACAACTGATAAAGTTACATAAGTATTTACATTATAAATCAGTTACCATAAATCTGCACCAAATTCTTAATATATTTAGACATCGTGTCCCAGCAAACACATGACGTTAAAATAACGTCGGACTAATGTTAGATTTTGGTCACGACGTCGGCGACCAAAATACGACGTAAATCTGACGTTAAAATACCGATGTCTAATAGACGTTTCTTTTTGACGTCGTACTAACGTTAGGTTCTGGTCGGTGTCCTGACGGTAGGTAAAAAAATAACAAAATATAATCCTTATTCGCTGTTGTAATCATTTAAACTTTTTTTCAAATGTTATTTGGATTACAAATGAAGTGTTCTTATATAAATACAGACCGAGATCGCGGCGCTGCAACCTAATAAAACATATAGGTGGCGCTGAATATATAGGCAAATTACATGTGTTATTGTTATGAAATCTATTTATAGCCACAGATCTGTTTACAAGTTCCAATCTTTTAACGTTATAATATTATCATTTGTGGTACATTATATGTATCAAAATCACGAGTTTTTTAATAGTGCTTTAACATTTAATCATAGTGACAGAATGGGGAAAGAAAACATAATTAACCTATAATTCGAATCTAAAGTCACGTGGATGGAAATTCAAATTCGTAGACGTTACGTTTTGGCTGTCGGTCAGGAATCGGGATGCATTGATAAAGTGAATATTATAGATTTTCTTGAACAAAAAGGTCAGTTCAATTTATTCAGATTTATTTTTACTTTGTATTTGATAAATAATTGCATGATTGCAAGCACTCTTAAATTTAATTATCATTATTTGAACGGCTGAAGTAAAATGTCACACAAATTCGCGATAATGTCTAATAATTCTGGTGGTCACTGACCTAACCGAAATATAGTGGTGTTTGACCTTGGTGAGATGGGACGTCCCAGTATTCCCTCAGTCCACATCCTGGTTTCCTGTTGAATGGACAAGCAATAAACTGCTCAGATTAATCTATCTGATTACATCCGTGTGTCAAAGTATCCAAAGAACTTGAACATCTATGTAAGTTTGTTATACCATTATAGATTTACTATAATGGTGGCAGCGGTGATTTAATTCTAGCTGCGGCCTGTATTTTTAAGACGCTACCAGTCTTCGGACCCACTTAGGTTTTTGTACCATTGTGGTTTCTAATTAGGATATTTGATACCGGTATCATATTTTTTTTCTTCTATTGTTGTTCCAAAACCTAGCAATTTTTGAAAGAGAATTGCAGAGGAATTTTTAAGAGTGATATTTTCATAATATTGCTTATTTTCAGCAGAAAGAGGTGTGATATTTTTTATATTGCATAATTCAAAGAGCGATATATTTTTTTTAATATTGCTTATTATAGTTACTGTAAGGCACAATATTGTAGTATTGTGCACGTGTGTGGAATAAAATAAATTTTATTTCGGAAATTGGTTTACAGTAACGGTAAGTGGTACTTTGCATGACCTGTAATTGCCTGATATTTTTAATTATTTGTAATAAAAATATTGTAATAAGTAATTATTAATATGGCAATGGCGATGGATAGGTCAGACACAAAAGGCCCCCACACCAATAAATCTAAGGTTGCGATTAATTTTGCTTCTGAGGACGAGTTGGTTAAAATTCCGGGGTTAGTAAAAAGGTTGCTGCTATTCTCCTATCTATAAGGGGGGCTGGCGGTGATATCACAGGCGAAATATTGTCTGCAATATGTTGTAAAAAGTTTACGGGTGAGGAATTAGATATGATAGATTTTTCACCAAATGAGGTTTTGGAAGAATTCCCTAGGAAACAGGAGGCTTTAGAGTATCATACTGTAGCTTCTGAAGGGGAAGGGTCCTTGGATAAGTCATTTAGGTCCTTGGATCAGTCATTTTTTGACTTTTTGGAACCAAAGCCTGGGGCAGTAAAGCCTGGTGTGGCCAGAGGGTCAGCTGGGGTGAAAAGCACTTCAGTATTTGGGCGTAGAGAAGGTAGACCTGTGATGGGTGGGGATAGCATGGGGTATAATGGGCATATGTTTACCACACCTAGGGTTCCCCAGGCTATTCCTGCTGATTTTGGGTCTGAGCGGTCTCTATGGAAAGAACAGGGGACCACCTCATTGGGGGATAATGAGTTTGAGCCATTATCTCATGGGGGATGGGAACCAGTTTATCCTGTAACAGCCAGGTCAAGACTATCGTTAGATAAAATGCCCACGAATTTAACATTTGATGGCAATTGCAGTTGGGAAGCTTTCATTTTTAAGTTTTCCAGATATGCTGAGATGTGCCAGTGGTCAAATGAGGATAAACTGTGTGCGTTGTGCTTGACGTTAGAGGGCAAAGCCTTAGATTATTATGTAATTTTACATAATAGTGGTGAAGTGCAATCGTATGCTTCTTTATACGATAAACTGGAGGCTCGGTTTGGTGACCAAATCTCACCAGAGGCAGCTCAAGGGCAATTTTATCAAGCTTTTCAAAACCCGGGCGAATCTCTTGATGATTTTGCAGACAGGTTACATGCCTTAGCCGATAAAGCCTTTCAGGGGGTATGTGCCCAATTTATAACAAGTCAGGTTATAAGTAGGTTTTGCCATGGTTTATTAGACCAACAAGCTGGGTTCCATGTTTACATGCATGACCCATCCACGGTCGAACAAGCCAAATTATTGGTCGGTAAGTACCAACAGAGCCATGAGGCCATTTTTGGTAGGAGCAAACGCAGTGAAAGGTGTGAAGGAAAGAGGGTTTCTTCAGTCAGTACTGATAGTTATGAAGTTCATTCTGATGAAGATAACTCTTCTGTGACTTGGGAAACTGTGATAGAGGCTATTGAGGAACTTGAAGATAAGTTTAAGAAGGCTTTCACAGTTGATTAGGCTTAGGTCAAAGGGTAGCCCTAAAAGTTTATAAAATGCTTTTAGGTGTTTTAAGGCTACAAGGTTGGGTCGATATCATGTTTATTCTAATATGTGGTTCTTCTAATCCCAAAGGGGGGGGGGGGAGGGAATGGGATAGAATAAAATGTAGGATATCGATCTGGGGAAAAATCAGGTTGTAAACATGGTGTTTGGATCCAGGGACTGCCATGTAGGAAATCAACTTGAGGGAAATTCCTTGTAGTTGGAATAAGTCTTGGGGAATAAAAGCCTGCCTCTTACCAGTTAGTACTGGTGGGGGTGAGGGTAGCTGCAGATAGGAACCGCCATTGGGGTAATTAAATTTATCTGGTGGTTAATCAGAGAAGAACTACCATGGGGTAATTTAATTATCTGGTAGTTTAGCTGATTGCATACCATAGACTGATCACTCATATAAGGTGGTTTATTGGTTTTGGGAGCCACAAGGTAATTTGGCGGGATGGTTGAAGGATCTATCCTGGTGTAAGTTGCTGCAGCACAGATCAAATCGTAATCATGGTAAAATGATGTAATGTCTAGTAAAATCGATTTGGGCCCAGAACAAATGATCATTGTAAAATGATGTAATAGTCTGGTACCATGTGGGAAATCGATTTGGGGTAAATTGCCTTGCGGTAGGTGTTAATTAGTATATGATGGCCCATGAATTGGGGGATCCTTTATTGACGATGTAGATGTGGTGCTATTGGCAAGTAAAAGATCACTTGGGTCACTAAGGGTCTTGGGAAGCCTGCCAGGGAAGGAACCAAATTCTACGGGTTTCAGGTTAAAATCGCATCTGTCATTGAGTGTGTTACAATCAGTCTTGGTAATTAGGAACCTTGGGAACGAATCTAAGGAGTGTAAGCTCATTATCTAGGAATCATCTTAGTAATAATGGGTTGCAAGCTTATTGGTGATTATGTTTCAAAAGGCCCTAGAGTCCATTCTGGTGTTATTTTCAGAAATCTGAGTCCCAGAACTGAGATGTTTGGTAACAATATAGTCACCATTAAGAGACGGTTAGCTCCCATATAGACAAGCAAGTTGCATCTGGTCAGTTAAGTTCACTGCTATGTAGGGGGTCACCAAGCACGCAGTTCCCGTCTCTTCTAAGCTAGATGACCTATAATGTCATTTGGTAGGTTGCTTGTTAGGCCGACAAGCAATTTATATGACAGTTTGTATGGGATCTATTTGGATGCAGGCATCTGTTAATAGTGATCATTACAAATGTTAGTACAATATTGGATTGCGTGGTTGGGGGTTTCTTATGGCAGAAATAGAATGAGCATCTTGCAGAACTGAAGTAGTAATTGTCATGATGTTATCTGTTAGGTTGAGCTCTTGAAATAATGTCAGAGTTATAACAGTTATCAAAGGAAATGTGTTGTCTTTTTTGGGAGGTAAGAATATAAGACCGGAGATTTATAATTCAGTGTGGTTATTTAATGAGGTTTCACAGCTTGTGGGTGAAGGTTACTTCTTGTTGGTTATTGAATATAAATCTGAGTTTGGATCGTTTATTGTCCAGATAAGGTCTTATATTGAGGATTGGGGTATAATCCTCAGGATGCTCATGCTGTTAAGCTGGTAGATGTGATAGGAGTTGCGGTAGTCTCTAGATATAAGCTGCATATCCTTGCATCTGAGTGTGAACCAGTGCATGAGTGGGTTAGAGTGTTTTGACAGTAGTAAGAGATAAGTCTTCAGTGAATCAATTAGACCTGAAGGAGGTTTTATGTTTGTTGGTGATTGTTACAGACTAATGTTGGTTAATTCTTCTCAGGGTGCTACTGGTGACAATTCATTCTAATAAATTCCAGTGGGCTGCTCAGGTTAATGAGTGAGTCGTAGAATTCTGCATCGTGGGCTGCTTAGGTGATTGAGTGAGTCGTAGAATTCTGCATAGTCGGCTGCTCAGGTAATTGAGTAAGTCCTAGTGGGGCTGCTCAGCTGATCAAGTCATAGCTGAGCTGCTCAGGTGATTGGTTTATCATAATCACCTATTTGGTACATGTACTAGAGCAGGGTACAGTACCAGTACTGGTAAGGATCCAGGAAATCATTCAATAGGCTCGTATTGAGTGCTGGATTAGATACTAGAAAGGTCTTATCTGGCAGCCAGCCTTTTCAAATAGGACGGGGAGGAGTGTGGTGGTCACTGACCTAACCGAAATATAGTGGTGTGTTTGACCTTGGTGAGATGGGACGTCCCAGTATTCCCTCAGTCCACATCCTGGTTTCCTGTTGAATGGACAAGCAATAAACTGCTCAGATTAATCTATCTGATTACATCCGTGTGTCAAAGTATCCAAAGAACTTGAACATCTATGTAAGTTTGTTATACCATTATAGATTTACTATATAATAAATCTTTTTAAAATTGACATGTTTTAACTCTGCTTGTGAAGAGTTTATAATATGCCTCTCAGTATTACCAAAGAGAATGCTTAGTTTTCATATTTTTCTTAAACTGTGATGTTTTTGTCAGTTCAAATCTGAGAATTGAGAATGAATTTGTACGATTTCGAGCATTTCGGACCAATACGTTTCGGTCCCAAATAACCCAAAACGTTCCGGTCCCAAATAACCCAAGAGTGACGCGTTTTGGTTCCAGACATTTCGGCATTAAATCTTTAATTTAAAACAATGAAATATTTAAGACTTGCGTAACTGTTCTATTTCAAACGTAGAATATATAGTACATAAGGTAGAATATAATTTTCTTTTCAGGTAGTTAAAGTGTTGGACATGCTCTCAAAGGTCGGAGGGACGGAAACACGTGAATATGTAAAAAGAAACATAGGAAAGTAAATTTTTTGTAAATTCTATTAAATACTTTAATCCATACTAAACTGGAGTTTAAAAGCGGCTTTTTAAATGTTCATTATTTATGTTTACTTTTAATCTTTGTTAAAGCTCTCTTATAAAAAGTTGGCAAAATTGTTCATTAAGTTACGATAACCATGAAAACATTTTTGCTTGTTATTTTTCCATGTTTCATTTTTTTTCAGTGAAAATGATGTCACACACGTTATTGGACGCTACAAACGCTACATATCCTCCTGACAGACGAGGGGTGCTGAAAGAAGGTCATATCTTAAAGCATCACACCTCAAAATTCGTGCTAATTCTCATGGATATCTAAAAGTATAACTTTGTGAAGTAACTAAAAGGCAGCAATTTATACATTACTGACAATTATCAAAGGGGGTCAAAATATGCAAAATGGCACTAAATGTTTTAGAAATGCTGTAGAAATATAGTTTAAATACTGAAAATCTGTCATTAATTGCTTGAAACATTATTATCAGAATCTTTTAACTTTTCTTAAAATTATAATATTTTCATTATTTTATTTGATAAGGCAAACTTTGATAGAAATGTGCATACATTGTTTTGTTCTTTAATATTTGTACATGTTTTCTTAGTTTCATTTATGTCATTGTTTTTGTAATACTTTTTGTTTTGTAATTAACTTATTTTATGTTTTATTTTGTTTAATTTATGAAAATTATTTAACCTTGCAGAATTTACTAAAATTGTATGTATCAGCTTAAAATTGCAACTTTTATTTTAAATTAAAAAAGCATAAAACATAATTTTGCTTTTAGTTTTCTGTTATACATTTCATTGGAGGGAAAGTTACTTAATAGAATGAGTTACATTAAATTCGATCAAATCATGATTAGCCAGAAAATATTTATGATGTGGTGAAACAAAAAAAGATTAGGGGAATGATCAGATGAAGGTCAGAAAATGATCAGATTAAGGGCAGAAAAGGGTTAATATTTAGGTCGGAAAATGGTCAGATTGAGGTCGGAAAATGGTTAGAAACTGGTTAGGTTTAGGTCGGAAAATGGTCAGATTGAGGTCGAAAAATGGTTAGATAATGGTCAGATTTTGGTAAGAAAAAGGTTAAATAATGGTTAGATTCTGACTTCTACCTGACGTCAGATTATTACGTCAAAAAAACTTTCAAATCCAACCGTTTTTCCGACCGTCATCCGACGTCAGAACCTGACTTAAATCTGACGTCAGGATGACGTCTTGTGTTTGCTGGGGTAAAATACCCTGGGTGGGTAAATTGCAATAAAATTCTCCAATGTCATCTACTGACGCATTATGCTGTAGCATTAGGCTGATGTATTTTTACTACTCCTTTCATAATTTATTAGGCTAAACCGTTTTCTTCGACTGAAGAAGGTTATAAGCCACGTGATACCAAAAACATGAGAAATGGTACTGACAGCTCCTGGCTTGGCGCTCAGCATTAAAACAGTTAGTGAATAATGTTTACTATATCGAAGGCAAGAAATAGCTCAGCTCTGTTTCATGTGGGAAATAAGATCGTGCACTTGTAAGAGTACCTGTTCAGATCCTACAATAGATGGACTATCAGTGTATGACTGTAAAAGTGTTGAAATATCTGGAAAAAAGTTATCCCTCAGAAGCATTAAAAACAGAAAAAGAAATCATGAAAATTGCAGACTCGGTTTGATTGAGTCTGTACATGATGGATAATAAAAAGTGTAACAACCCTCACGCCCCCTAGCACCGGCTTAAGCGAGACTCAACTATCAACACATAAAAATGCTAGACTCAATTATCCCAAAGGACCAGAAAAATATAGCAACACTGAAGTGAAGTACGGGACACCTTTTACGGCTTCTACACGGCACTTGACACCTGCTGTTTTTATGTATAAACTTCGATATAGTAATTCACTCCATTTCAATTTCACTTTTCAAATTATTGCCAGCGCTTTAGGCCGTACCACTGCGAAAAATATACTGATATACGGGAATATACGGTCCCGTATTTTTGACATATACGGGCGTGTACGGGATGTATTCGTCGAATATACGGACCAAGTATACGAGTCCGTATAGGGAACACCGGGTATACGGGATGTCCGTATATGCATCAGGCATATACGGAATTCCGTATTTGCCCCATATACATGTACGTATATTTGTTCGTACTTTTGAAGTATACGGATAATAAAATCCCGTATACGGACTATATATAGGTTGCTATCCCTAGTATACTATAAATATACCAAGGATATACGGGACCGTATTTTCTACATATACAGAGGATATACGGACTCGTATTTTCTACGTATACAGAGGATATACGGAACCGTATATTCTACATATACAGAGGATATACGGACTCGTATTTTCCACATATACAGATGATATACGGAATCGTATTTTCTACATATACAAAAGATATACGGATTGGTATTTTCTACATATACAGGGGATATACGGAATCGTATTTTCAATATATACAGGGGATATACGGAATTGCACTTTTTAGTTGTCCACAGGGAATACAGAACTGTATTTTCTTGATAAAAGAAGTTACAGATAATATCAAAAGCATGCATTTACATATAAGTGACACGTATACATGACCGAAATGCAGACTTGTACAATAGAACATGTTTTATTACACATTTTGAATGGGAACTATAAAGTCATATGCTTAAGAACGTTATCTTCACAATTGGAGTATTTCAAATAATAAAGTTAAAACCAAATCGAGTCACTCTTAAATATTTATTATTTCATAAACATATATTCAATATGTATACATATATTAAACAAAATAAACATGTCTTCGCTACAACAGTCATATATTGTTGCAAGCCTTATTCCAGAGGGACAAATTAATGTAGCGTTGCAACGGAACGGCGATATACCGGTATGATGCGATACAGAGTCATGAAATACGTATCACAGTGGAAAAAATCGCACTGCGATATTTTCTTTAGAGATCGAGTTATACATGTACATGTTTCGATATTTTCAAGCCGTAACCTTTATGAATTGCATGTTGTTTAAATGTAGAACACACTATACCAACTTGAAGTTCGATTCTATTTATCTTAACAATTTTTATGAGCCACTTGTATTACACCCATAAAATATTTTAAAGATATTCATATCATTTGTTCGTGTTAACATTCACATATTATTTTAGGAAAATGAGTCCATAGCACAAATTGATTATTACAGAAAGTTTTAATAATAATCATTAAAACTAAAAATCCGTATTCACAGAAATTCGTCATTCAAACACAGTTCTTAAAAGCACTTAAATATATCAATCATCTATTAGACTATAGGAATGTTGTTACGTAGACCAGTGTGACGGTGTCTATTTCGTGACGTAGGAAATGTTATCTCCAGATATTACAATCTTCTTCGGCATGTGTGTATCTGAAAAAGAGAGTTCAAAATCCTGTTTAAATAGTGTCGTGAAATAGTTATCACAACTTTCAAAAAGACTATACACAAGCATTTTTTAAGCGTATACATATATACATTTTTTTTTCTAACGCAAATTTCAAAATTATTTTATATTATTAGGATAAAGATGTCATTTATAAGCAACCATTTACACAGGATTTAAATGAAATGATTAATCTATGACGGGTGATAAGTTATATGTTTTTGTTAAAAAACCTTTACGAATATATTTATTTCACACCTGTAATATAAATGATAATGGTATCTTTGTTCTATGTAAAGAGTGTTTTATTGATTAAAAATATATTAACACAAAATAACTTTGTATTGGGGAAAATGTTTTACGATGTATATTAGCATCGTTAGTATGAGTCAATTCGTTTGAAAAAAGGCTTAAAAAGTACAGATATTTGTTACTCAGATGTAGATCCGTGTTTGCACAATGATATCCAGTTAAGTAAAAGGCGGAATACTCAGCTATACTTCTCATTTATATAAAAAAACGTTAATCTTAACAAATTTGGATTATTGTTTGTTTTAATTTCAATTGTTTCAAAAACTATCTCAGCAACGAATGAATACCTTCAATAAACAATAGTGTAGATTAATATTTTTTTTATTGTTAAGACTGTTTAACTAGGTAAATTGACAATAGAATCTCTTACAGTGTGCCATCTCTAAAAATAAAGTTATAATTCTCACGAAATATAAATCAAAATATCCTCCCTTGCCTATAGCATTAATCTGATAGTATGAAATCAAATTCAGATAATAAAATATACGTATCATATGTGACAATTGCATAAAATAACATAGGAAATATTTTAGTTAATACATGCGAATGCGACTATTACGTGCGCACGTGAAACATTTACGTATCAACACAATATGTTTCACGTGCCCACAAGTACTGTGCGTTTAGTATGATAATTAAGTGACGAGGTGGTCAAGTCCACTATCCAGGTGTAAAACAGCTATCATATTGTGTTTATTATATTCAAACAGGCTAGCTATATAAACTTAATTATCAACAAATTAACCAACTCTCAGAGTAATGCAGTAGGTAAGGTTGTGGTAAATATCAATGCAAGACAGCTAGGCTCGGATTGCACCTTTTTCCCAAAGATATTGCTTTATAATTATCAATCAGGTAATGAAAGTTTTGTATCATTTATTGTAAAGATTATAAATGCTGTGATATTTTCTATTAAGATCTCATTTTGTTTTAAATGTAGCTATATTTAGCCCTATTTAGCAAGTTGGTGCAAAATTATACGGAATGCATGATACTGTACACAGACTGTTTCAACTATAGTTAAGTTTGCACGAAATACTATGGCACTGCAAAAGTACTATGACTACTACATACTACACACTATACAGGATAAAAATCACTATCATCCGTGCATGTATATCTAAATTATTAAATATCATAACAAAACTGCCTTTCTATCCTAATTCATTTTTCTAATGTAAAATTAAAAAAAAATATGGAAAAAAAACGCAAAAAAGTAAGACAACTTGTGAGGCTCGAACTTGTGATAAAATTTAATGTGTATGACATTCTAACTTTTCCATCAAGACATTTCAAATTCTGTTTCTTATCTGACATTATATTCGCTTTGAAAACCCTGTTTTACCTATTAAGACAAATGAGCCGTGTCACGACAAAACCAACATAATGGGTTTGCGACCAGCATGGATCCAGACCAGCCTGCGCATCCGTGCAGTCTGATCAGGATCCATGCTGTTCGCTTACAAACCCTATAACAAGTAGAGAAACTGATAGCGAACAGCATGGATCCTGATCTGGATCCATGCTGGTCGCAAACTCATTATGTTGGTTTTGTCGTGACACGGCTCAAATGTTGTTAACTTTAGTGTACATGTACAAAAGAAAATGTAACGTCACTCTCACATTATCAAAGCGGCGTACTTATCGCTTTACGCACGTAGTAACTAAAACAATTACTATCATTAACATATATAAAAGTGATTAAACTGTAAAGAAATACATATTTTTTGATACAGTAATATGTTTAAGAAAAGAAAACTAATTTAATAAAATAAAGTCGCATGCACAGTGCATCTATATCAAACCATTGTGTGTGTTCGAGTTAATTCTTATATTTTATATATTTGATTTTTGCATATTAAAAGCAAGTATGGTTTAGCATTTTCAAATGCGCGGCAAAATGCTTATATCATATATGCCTTAATTGACATCATTTTATGAAGTGTGACATCATTCCGCCTTAGAATTGATTCTAACAAGATATAAAAGAGAACCAATGTATTTATAACTAAGCACATTTATTCTTGTCAAAATAAATGCGTGTAATTAAGGAAATTTGACTTTGCCTTGAGAAAGAATAAAACACATGATGTCAGTACAGAGTGGAATATATGAGTCTGAGTAACTCTTCTTTACAGACAGTACGTCCGTGTAAATGTCTTATTTTATTCACAAAAAAACAACAATGTATATACGTGAACTTACATCTATATAACTTGCTACCATACTTTGCTTCATCTACAATTGCTGTAAAGAGAGCACAGCTGCATTTCTAGAAGATTTAACTGTCCTGAAAAATCATAATATAACTTCAGCATAAAATGATAAAGAGCACATTGAAAATATTTCATAGAACAGAACAGAACAGATTTTATTACACATAAACTGTACAGTTTCTAGTGTTTAACAATGAATAATACATATAATATAATATTGAACGATACATATAGGATGAAATATGAATGAAATTATTATATATAACACAATAATGGATGAACTAATATTTTCTTAAGAAACAACATGCATACATTATATAATGAAATCAAAAAAGCAACATGTAATTGCATGTTTCATAAGTGATCACATGTGCGAAAGTGTTAATACGGTAGGAACGTGTTCACTTTCATGTGCATGTGTAGTTATGTATTTTGTGTGTTCGTGCGTGCGTGCGTGCGTGTGTTACCATATTGCTTTATGTGAAATATATGTCAAAATATGGAATGTCGAAAAGTGTGTGATGTACAAATGCTCAATACAGTTTTTCAAGCGTTTAAATTTATGTATAATGAAATATTAAATAACAGTTTCCTCAAACAGGCGCGTGTTTGTGACTGACCCATGCGATATCACCTTATGCGTAATGTTTCTCTTAAAAACTAAACAAAGAGTTTTAATTATAATAATAAAAAAAAATTTAAATTTTCATTTGTCCAATAAAAAATCCATTGTAAATGTCGAAAACTCAGTTCATGTATATACAATTTAAAATCTGGGTAATCCTGAATAACGTAGATAAATAACCAAAAATATCGAATGAAAACCAAGAGTTGCCTGTCCTGAATTGCGAGTAAACGCGATCTTGCTAATTACTATTATTACTAAAACAATACAAACAAAACCGTTTTAAAACTTCTGGTTCGTTGCGATATTTTATATTCACGAGTTTTAAAATTCTTACACCGACAACAGGCTCCTGATCTAAGCTTCGTATCAATGTAAAAATAAACATATGAGCCGCGTCAAGACAAAACCAACATAATGGGTTTGCGACCAGCATGGCCAGACCAGCCTGCGCATCCGCGTAGTCTGATCAGGATCCATGCTGTTTTGCTTACAAACTCTATAACAAGTAGAGAAACCGTTAGCGAACAGCGTGGATCCTGATCAGACTGCGCAGATGCGCAGGCTGGTCTGGATCCATGCAGGTCGCAAACCCATTTGGTTTTGGCGTGACGCGGCTCATATATTTTGACACCAAGGGTAAGTGAATTCACAGTTAACCGTTTAACTTAACACCTGTCGGCCATATTACATGCAATCATACACATTCTTTGTATTAATGTAAATAAAAAATTCTGACAATTATTTTCATTTTATTTATTCGTCTTAATGTATAATGATTTAAATAAAAAAAAGAAATGTTGTTTCCTATTTTTGTTTAAGATTTGTATTCATTTAACAATAGGTTAATATAAATAAGCAATATAACAACATGTGATCAGAAACTTAAAAAAGTAAATTATTGAAAAGAGCGGAGCCTTTAAATTGACTTATGTTTGCATCAAATAATGGGGATTTGGATAAAAATAAAAACTGCGAACATAAAACAAGTATTCTGATCGTTAAATTATCAAGACTGAGAAACAATTTAATTTTTATCTTAAAATTTATAAACCTATTTTTTAGAAGTACTAACCAATTTTCTTCTGTTAAATCTGATAATTTTTGTTATTATATTGAATAGATAAAACATAACCTATTTTTCGGCTATCAATTTCATAAATTACTATTAAAATAAATAGAATTTGAGTGTCTCTTTTCGATATGATCTTTCTTGCACATAATAGATAATTTGATTCGCACCCCTGCTGTTAAGTGATAATTGAGATCGCTCAAGATTATAAAGTCCAATTAGTTGACCAATTAAGCATATATAGGTCGTGTCACACACACTGATTAATCCCTTTGTACTACCATGTCCAGGGGCTGTAATACCTTGACATCTTCGGTGTTTAAATGTCGTTATTTTTAACTCGGTGTTTTTTTTTACCCTGAAGGGAAGTTATGATTAATGCATTTAACAAATGCCCTTTTCATTTTTTTGTTTTTTGCATTTTTCATACAAATTATTAATTAAACAAGATACAGTTTAGAAATCAAAATCAAACTCGTAACCTCCCAGTATAAATTTAGGGATATATCCCTGCTTTAATTATCTAATCCGGCGGCCATATTGGATAGCGAAACAGATTAAACAGTGTTAAAGTTTTCTAAAAACAAATCAGTTTAACCCTGAAATAAGCTGTTGTTCACAAAATGCAACTATTCTATTGATCGCATATTGATATTGCAACGATAAAAAATAACTTTTAACCTACCTTGTTTTGCAATATTCTGAATTTTATTTACTATCCATTTCCAATCCCGTTTTTTCTTTTTTCATTTCGCCCGCGCTATTTCTGATTGGTTGATAGGATTCACGTGATACAAAACCAACGCTTTAAACTCATTGGCTGTTTTGAAAACGCGTGATATGCCTAGATACCGTTTGTAGCATTAATTATGCCACTGATTTATATTAAGGTCGGTGATAATGTGATAATGCGGAAGAAAGCAGCATACTAAGACCTTTATTCGATCCAAAATAATGCAATATTACATGTATTAAATTGGAAATATCATGTATCCATAAACGATAACTTTGCATACATGTATAACACAACCATTGATACTTTTCATAGGCAAAACTTTGATTCTAATGCTCAATCGGTTATTTATTTTTTTGATAATAATTATAATAATAATAATATTAATAATAAATAATAATAATAATACTCATGATGATGAGGATGATGATAATAGTGATAATGATAATGATAATGATGATGATGATGATGATGATGATGATGATGATGATGATGATGATGATGATGATGATGATGATGATGATGGTGATGATGATAATAAAAATAAAAGACGTTTTAGAAGCGCTAAGAAATATTTATAAATTACACAGATTTTTGTGACAACAACAATAAGCGGGTAAAACAAAAGACCCACATTAAATTTACACAGAGGACAAAAGCCCCCGCCCCCCCCCCCCCCAGTCCATCAAACAAAAGCCTCCCTAAGGTTTATAGACCAGACTGATAACTATCTATTTTTGCATGCCCAGTGTTCGGGAATAAATCTAGACAAGTATGCGCCTTTCACTTTTATTTTCTTGATAAGCTTTGAAAAGCGATTCTCTGAAAATATTCATTTACATTTGTACTGCACAATATATAATAAAGTAAACATAAAAACATTCATATCATCAACGAATTAAACAATAAATCAAATTAGAACGTTTGTACCTTTAAATTTAAATCTTAATGTAAATTATCTTTTAATACAATTGCATTTATTTGTTAAAATACATCAAGTTCCAGATTTAAACTGACGTGATTCTCAATAGCAATTGTTTGATGGACTGGGGGGGGGGGGCTTTTGTCCTACCTGTATTTTTTGATGGGGTGGGCTTTTGTCCTACGTGTTAATTTCATGGGGGGGGGGGGGTTGTTCACCTTGTCATTTTTAGATGGGAGGGGGGCTTTTGTCCGTATCCCCATTAAAATAAATAAATTACTTACTTACTTACTTACTTATACACATAAATGAAGTATAAAGATCCTTTCACATTATCTGCGGATTTCATAATCAAAATAAAACTTTATTAGTATAAAAATATTTGGAGTATCGGTAAAAATTCGAAAGTCCAATTTAAAAAGTGATTTTACTATCAATATATAATTTAGTATGTTCTTAACTTGAGTTTTTAAATCAAACTACGACAATTTTTTTTTTAAACAGAAATTTACTTTTACAAAAACTGTTTCCAAGATACATAATTTTATTTTAACCAGGTAACAAATGTTAATTTACATAGCACGGTCATGTTCCCCTGTCCTTAACAATGTTCAAGTCACCGAATTATGCAGAAACATGGCTGATGGGAGACGAGGAAACTCGGGAGATGATGATGATATTTTTCAAGAAATGCTATTTCGAATAATTTGACATCATCTATCAACAATACATGTACATACACCCCAGTGACATCCATCTGATTCTAGCTTGTGAACTTAGATATAATTGGACCTGGCGGCAGGGTACTTCAAAGTTTACTTTAAGATAAATCTTAATTGTGTCATGTTTAAATGACGAATTCCGCCAAATTAAAGGATAACAACAACACGACGCTGCAAAAGCATTGGAAAGAATACAGCAGCTATGTCTGTTTCATTTTGATATGTCGGGTTAGAGTCTTTATAATATCTAGAACAAAATCACATAGGATTACAATTTAATTCCCTTATTTCGTACATGAATTATATTAGAAATTGACAGTAAAAAATACCGTTAAGACATTCAACACCAATTGCGCTAATTTACCTAATCGGAGAAAACCGACACTCGATATACCCTGCTGCGTTTATGATCAATATCCGGATCAATATCTGGCTTAATCAGTATTGTCTTCGATTATGGCAATACAGCACGTGGCTATTACACAATATTATGTCATAAATGAGACCGCGCGAAAAGAAATCAAAATTGGGGAATTCGGAACTTCATAAGATTTCTATTCAAAACTTGTGTACAGAAACGCAAATCTTTGTTTCCTGAAAAAAAGATTAAATAAATAAATAAATAAATAAATATATGAATAAATGAGTAATGAATAAAAGAATGAATGTATGAATAAATAAATAAATAAATAAATGAATGAATGATTGGTTGATTGATTCAATGAATGAATGAATGAGTGAGTGAGTGAGTGAATGAATGAATGAGTGAAAGAGTGAATGAATGAATGAATGAATGAATGAATGAGATATCATTGTTGTTTTTTTACATATGCAAGTACATGTATTATATTATGTTTAGCCTATTTTTATAGGACATATATCAACGTAAAATTTAATTGCTGTGTGGACAATCCCGATTTCATCTTCGTGTTTTCACAATTATTTTAACTTTCATGATTTCAACTTCACAGATCCACGATTTTATTATAATTAATTCATGTTTTGAACATCACAATTTCAACTTTATCATTTTCTCATGTTTGGCTTATCATTATAAAATATTATAATGATAATGAAAAGGAAATTACAAAAATAACATGATTCACCATAGATGCAAAATGCAAAACAGTACTATCTAATCGTGAATTGCAAATGTAAAGTATTCGCTATTTATCTGCGGGTGTATGCTAAAAAGCAAACCAAGCGGTATTGAGCTAGAATACCGCGTCTTCATGTTACAGGTGGATGTCTTACACGTCCTGTGCACTGACGATATTATTTGTACGCAATTGACGCGTTAATAACTCCAGGAAATTTTGCATTGTGTTAATTGTCAAATGTCTGACAAATATATGATCAGACTATTTCTTTACTCTTACAGGAAATAGGCTCTTCAGAAGTAAATTTTCATTCGCTACTTCTATATACAGAATCCGTATTTGCACGAATACGGAATTTCGTATTTTAGTAATATACGGACTTGTTATAAAAATTCCGTATATTAGTAAAATACGGACTTCGTACATCAAAGTTCCCGTATATTACGAGTGTACGGAGTTCGTATATGAGTCATATACGGACTGATATAATATACGGTCCCGTACATCTCCGTATTTCAAGTTTCCCGTATTCTTACACGTATATTAATGATATACGGAATTCCGTACACTTCCGTATATCCATGTCTTTTTCGCAGTGTATACATCGTCTTGAAAGACGTCTTTTGAGTTAAGAATTTAGTGCAAAAAAACAAAAACAGTTAGGTTCAGTTCCTATGTAAGCGGCTCACATACATCAGCCATTGCTAGGTCAAGCTCCGATAAATCTTAACAGATGTATATGAGGGCCAACACGGACAGCTGACCAGCAGCTTCGCCCTCACTTAGTCCCGAGACAACTCGAACCCGGTCCAGTCCCAAGTTACCTGCATAATCGAGGTCGTAGTCAAGACGTCAAGATGTCCGTGCTCAATCATCATCAAAGGACGAAACTATTGATGCACTTCAGCGCACTTGACAAAACAACTGTCAACGCATACGACCAACGGCTGAACTTATGGGAAACGTTCCGAATATACTTTGGGAACTTGGCATCAATTCGTCTTGTACTTACTAAAATGAAAATTAAGATGTAAGGAAAGTACACAGTACAATATCCTGGTCTTACTTCAAGTGCTCATATGTGTTGAGATGACCCCTCAATTTTAGCGTAACTGTTCCTCGATAATCGTCCCCGACATTATGTACCAATTAAAAGTTGTTTTTATGCCGTAAACTAGGAGAGACTTATGTACTCCGTATCGTTTTAATATGGTTAATAAGCATACTATTAGTATGCCATTTATCTCCGGATGAGAAAATATTTTATTTTTGCGGCATTAATTAGGTCAAATTAAACGTTTTATAATTAGCCTATGTATATAACTTGATTGTTGGAGCAATTGGAAATTACAAGTTCATGATATGTACTATGTATCTAAATAAAATTATTCAATACGTGTTATAATTACACATGCTTATATTTACATCTGTTTTAAACGAAATTATAATACAAAGTATGTGTGACGGAATTGTCGGTAAAGAACATTTGTTCTTTACCAAAATGTACTTGTTTATAAAACCAGTATTTTTCACAATAGTCCCTTACAACAAAAATTGAAGTACAACAATCTGTATCTTTGTGAGTGATATACATTGTCTGATTTAAACATTTCAATACAGTATATACACTATTGATCTTGAAAATTATCTAGATTATCAGTATATAGGGTAATATCAAAATTAATGTCAGTTATATGGGTCATGGGTTTCATAGCAACTACATTTAAAGTGTCACGTTTATTAGTTATCTACAATATAGAAATAAATTTAAAAAATAGCATTGTGTTCGTTTAAGGCATCGTTTGTTGGAATAATGATAATTAAAATTGCGAAGAAGGCAACTTGTGCATGTTTTCTCTTTTATTATTTATCAAAAAGCAGCTTCAAAATGGGTTTTCAAAATAAGTATATATATAAAAACAAACATCATTTGTATGCAAACTTTAATATAAATAAACTATTTTTATATGTATATATATCTATAATAAAGTGAGCATACAAATGATGTTTGTTTTTACATACATATTGCAATTCACCACCTATATTTATGAAGGATAATTGTTTCTTTTTATTTTGGGTAACGTGCATTATTATAAGTATAGTAACGTCATTTTCAATTATTTCTCAAAACATTATTTGTATTTTGTGTTTCAACAAATCATGTGTACAGTACCACGTTCATTTGAAAATACAAAAACAGAAACATGTAATTGTAATATTGCATGTCTACTTAGATACCCTTAATATGATATGATGCCATAAGTACTAGTCTACAAGGTTCATTAAAAGGTGTATTGAAAGATAAAAATACATCCCAATATATGGCAAATTAAGCCATATTAAATAAAATAAAAGCAATATATGAACCTTTTGTTCAATTTAAAGTAAAAGTCTTTATTGGTACAAGAATAATTGTGTATTAATGAAAATCAGCCCCCACCTTTCTTATACATATTAGGCAGAATAACAACAATTATATCATAAGTTAAAGATTTATCAGATATTAAGTATCAAGTCAGGATAGGCGGACAAAGTCCTGACATGTGTCTCGGGTGTATGATGTATCACATGATATACACATAATTTGTCACGTGATAGAAGCTAAAGATAATAATAAATATAAATATATATCAAAATAAAATCAAATGTTTTTTGTTTGTGCACAGAAAGAGGAAAATAATGTAATGGAGTAATTTTAGAAAGGCAATAAATGTAAGTTTTTATTCCATGTATATGCTGGTAGATACTTACATTTAAATTATTTCGCTTATAGATCAATTAATTTAAGCAAATTGATCATCATTTTTCGTTCTACAGTGTTATACATTTTGTTCCTGAACAATCATTTGAATGCATTGCATGTATTAAGGACTATAAAGGATTATTAAACATATTGAGTTAAATGCTTTTACCCATCCCCTCCGAGTAAAACTATTTTAAAATAAATAAATGTTATTTCAAATTTAACGTCGAAATAAGATTCCTTCACTTCAAAATGACGTCACCGGAGCGCAAGATCGAACCGTTCGCGCATCTTCACAGCGCATATTGTTTTCTACATGGGTACCAAAAGGGTAATATCAATTTCTTTCGGCGGATCAATGTCCAATCAAAAAGGGGGAACACTCTGGAAGGGAAATAAAGTACACAATCATTTTAACTATAAAACAAGTACTTAAATCATACTGGCATTTAGGAATTGTATATATATGTTGATCAGATATAGTGGCAGATTTGAAACCTTTTGTGTATCATGTTGTCGCTAAACTGCGCGTTGTCGGACTTTCGTCTTGTCGTCCTGTCGCTAAGGTGTTGTCGCGATCTCACATTGCCGCTCGACTCAAATCGAAGGATAAGCTTATTAGACAAGCGACAGGGGGGCATCGCGACAATGCGCCACACTACAACGAGCCATTTGGCGTGCTTTGCTAGAGACAGGACGACAAGACGACAGTGCCACAACTCGCTGTTTTGCGAATTTCGCTAGCGGCAAGGCGAAAAGGCGATAACGATATAGATTGTGTTGTCGCTATCGACAACGCAACGCGCAAAGAGTACCAAATCAGCCACCATAGATATAATATGATTAATTATATGCGAAAATCACGATAATTATCAAAATATAGGTATTTATCATCCTATATAATATTACAGCGTGTATGTGATATATACAATTATTATCATTTACATACTTTAAAACGACCCTAATATATTTTGCCTCTAGTTTTACATAACATAAGTATAACATAAGCAATTAAAGTTTTATTTTAAGATAAAGAGAAAAAAAATGATTAAGTAATGTGTCACCTTTAGTTTTTTCCTTTTTTACGCCATTTTCAAAACATGAATGCTTGGTGAGTAAGAGATTTGGCCATTGGCAACATATATAACAAAATAAGTCACTAGTCATAAAGCATTTCAATGCGGAAAGGTTCATATTTTAAGTTAGAAAAACTTTTTTAACTTCAGACACTAACAACTTTTAATTTATTCAACTTTATTCAAAGTCAAGATTTTAGCCGTGTTAACCATACTATTTTGTCATTGGTCAAATATTTGACTGACAAATCAATTGTTCTTCTTTATCAAATTATTCTTGTATGACATGAACTTAAACAGCTATATCATGTTTATGATACAGCATTATTCTTTTTATCTCAATTATTTCTTTTATATTTTTTAAAATCTTTTATTCTATTTACTTTTCCTTATTTTGTGTTTTCTTTATTAAGAATCAAGTGTTTCTTACAAAAAAAAACAACAACAAAAAAACTTGCATCACCTGGTAATTGTAGGACAACTTTTTTTGTTTTAGATGTACAAGGTTATGTATATTAGAAATTAAAATTGCATGGACCTTAGTAGAGTTCCTCTTAAGAGTTTGTAAGATACAGCAAAATACATATAGGTGTATATAGACATGAACTTCATAACCACACGGCTGATAACTCTATCATATTGTTTTATTAGATATGAGAACAACCGCGGTCTCCTTTTAAATGATTTAACTGTTCTCGTTATTTATTGAATGTATGTTTATTTTTGTCAATATATATAATTAATATAATTATATTATTACTCTTTTAAAGAATAAGTAAAGCCTTTATCTTTCATAAGTATCCAAGTATAGTAGCCACACGATTCAAGTATATTGAAATATCCAGAGAAAAAGTAGACCATGTTAACTTAATGCAAATAATACAAAAAAAACTAATAAAAAAGTATATAATTTAATACATGTGTGTCCGCAACCGTGTGATACTATATTCTTGTTATTGTTTCTCTTACCATTTATTGTGTATTACATTACCTTTAGATGATAGTGATATCGTACTTAATACAATTTATGTGATAAAAAGACCCATTTTACTATGTATTGCAAAACGTATATAAATGGTTATATGTTATATTGATTATATTTTATTCTCATAATAACTGCATTGTGTTAGGAGGTATAAAATATGCAATACCATATATGAACGATTATAGATTAATTAGTGGTATAGGAGGATATACCCCTAAAAAAAATTAAATCTGAAATGAAGAATGACGAAGAATTACAAAACGAATAAAAATGACACTTTAAGAAGATTTTAATAAAATCGGCCACTCTAGATCTAAATGAAAATATTTACTTAAGTTAAATGTTGTTGAATGGGTGTACGAAAAATGTGACTTTTTATCACACAATTATAAAACTTTGACCAATGTTAGAATATAGGACTACACTATGACGACACACGTCAGATACAAGATATCAGTGTTCAAGTCTTTGGCGGGGTAGTTTAGATAAGGCGGTTAAGATAACGACTTGCTGACAAGGTGAACAAACATGTAGCTGAAACAAATTAAAAGTTTAGTAAGAAACCGATAACATCTGAAAATAAAATGAAGAAAAATACCAAACGAATCGCAATGAAACCCAAATAAAATCGGTCACTCTACATGAAAATATTTACTACTATTAAATGCTATTGATGTTAGTGTACGAATGGGGTGACTGTTTATCATACAATAATAAAACTTTGAACAATATTAAAATATAGGACTACATTATGACGGCACACGTCAGAGACAAGATATCAGTGTACAAATATTTGATAAAGACAACATATCAATGTCAGTCGAGATAGTTTAGATCAAGAGTTGAATATATCGACGTGTTGACAAGGTGAACAAATATGGAGCTGAAACAAAAGTTCAATTCGGGGTTATAATACTACTTTTATACATATATCTTTAAAAATAAATAAACAGACACACATGCCACATCAAAGGACTTTTTTATTGTTGATGTTGCTTGTCTTATATTTGATTAACAAACCGAGGGAATAACGCTGATATGAAAATGGATCTAATCTAAATGTACACATGTTCATGTGTACAGTAACTATAGTTATTTATTTGTGTACATATAAGTTGTTTTTTCTCTCAAAAGCTTAACATTATTTTGTATAAAATGACAAATTTGTCATTATGTATGAAGTTTAAAAAAATAAGATATCATTATAATATTGTCTGCCCTTCAAAAACAGGATAAGTGCATCGTTTGTCCCCTCAATATGGAATAATTGTGAAATACTTTACTATTTGAAGGGTAATAGCTCTGGTGTAAATGACTTGACTTTAACAGACACGTGTGTATGAAGAAGAAGAAGAAGCTTTATTATTTCATAAATCTCACAATACACAATTGACAAAGCCATTATAGCTCATAGTCACATTTTGGTATATACACTTTTGACTTGATATTGGCATTAGTCAACAATAAATCTGTCAGTAAAGTAAACAAAATATATGTGAAAATAGTAAGATGCAAAAAACAGGATACACTACTCTTACAAGATTTAAATGCTTTGTAATTACTTCCCTTTCATTTCAAAATATCTAATACAAAAGAATGTGTTTGAGACTTTTTTTCTTAAAAAGTGACTATTTTAAATTTTTGTTTTTGTTCATAATTGAATCTTAAAATGTTCATCAAGATTGATATAAAACATAAACTAAGTATGAAACATTATTTTGCATCTTCTTATTTTTTTTGGTATTATTTGTATTAACTATTTTCTAACATGTCAGTACGTGCTTACGTACGCACGTGCTGCGTGCGTACATACGTACGTATATACATACAATAAATACATTTGTGTACCACACATGATATTTTTACTTCTAATACATTATTACCGCTGTTCAACCATGTGCAATCAATAAAATTATTAAAGAATGTAACACTATACTATCTAAATATTATATCTACATCTTCTTATTTCAAATGCTTTGTATACATATACAGATAAATTTCTTATTACTTTAACATTTTCTGATGAAAACAATTCTATGGTTTTAAACATGCTTGGTCGAACTCTGTAGTATCTATTTATATATTTATCTCTAATTGTGTCATACATGTTACACTCAAAAAGGAAATGAAATTCGTCTTCTAATTTATTACACGATATGCAAAGTCTATTTTCTCTTACAGTTCTATTCCATCGGCCACATTCTATATTTAATCGATGTGAGGATACTCTCAATCTACATAATGCATTTCTATATTTTTTAACATTAAGTATTTTAAGGTATGGTTGAAAACCAAAACTACATATAGATTTATAAAAAGTAGCTCTTGTTGAGATATCAATCCTACTTTGCCATCCTTGTACAAAAACATCCTTTATTCTTTGCTTAAAAATGTGTACAAATATGTTAAAATCTCCTACTCCCTGCGCTAGCCAAACATGATAAAAACCTAGTCTGGATAAAATATTCTTAACACATGAAGCCCAATTTGATTTTTGAGGTTGATTTTCAATGTCATTTAACATCATTTTATATATATAATTTATATATTTATTTTCAGGGCTGCTTGTTACTTTCAACCAATATTTTATAATGTACACAATTCTAAGACTATATAGATCAGTTCTTCCAAGATCGCCGTATATAAAATCATTTTGTGTGCTTACTTTTACACCTAATGTTCGTTTGCAAAACATTGTATGCACCCTTTCAATTTGGTTTGCTTGTAAAAAACCCCACACCTCAGCACCATAAAATAGGACTGGCTTAATTAGTTTATCAAACAGGTCTAAGACATGATCTGAAGACAAATTAACAAACCTAGACATATAACATTTTAACTTAAAAATTGCCTTTAATGCTTGCCCTGCCTACGTGTTACAGGCTTCCTTAAAGGAGCCACCTGACGT